AACTATATTCACATGTATCTGCTATAGAACTCCAAACTCTCATTAAATTATGTAATTCTTTTAAACTATTGGACTTCAAATAAATATAATACCTAATTTTCCGTGTCACATATTTTTTCCTAAAAAGAGACATGTCCACTGTATATATGTAGAAAAAATGCATATGGAATATATCAAGGAAATGATTTCCAAAACTCATATAAAGGCTAGAAATTTAAAAAATGTATGTTTATATTATAGTACAAGGGATAAGTTAAAGTACCCCTAGATCTATAATCGAAATCTCAGAGACACACCTCAATTAAACTAAGATTGTGTTGCCTCCTGAACTCATTTTTTTGATAATGTTATATATATCTTTTGACTTACGTGACACACTTTGTGACTCCATGTAGTTGAGGCGTATGGAAGATGTCTAAATGTCACGTAAACCAAAAAAGTGTACAAAATTACAAAAACAAAAAGGCTTTAGAAGTGATAGACCTTAATTTAGTTATATTGTGTCTCTGAGATTTCGATCATAGTCTAGCTACTTCTCTATTATCCCTGTGTACAACAAACATGTCAATTTCTCACACTATAGACTTTGATTATTATTTTTTTGAAAACTAAATAATGATTGACTTGTTGAGTCAGCAGACTTCTCCTTATCTTTCCATCATTGGCCAGTTATATTTTGTATGATGAAAGACCAAAACAAGACCACATATTAAAATATTATTTTATATTATATATGAATAATATTTGATCTAATATTCTCTTATAAAAAAAAAATATACATGTGACCTGTCTCGTAGATTAGAAACAACAGACCAATAAAAGAGGAAAACTAAAGAAAAAGAAACAGCCAAACCAAAGAGGTGTTTCTTTTTCTATTTTTTCTTGTTCTATCCTAAACAATTATTCTTATTCTTTTGCTACCTCAAGTTAAATAACATGATTTACATAATATTTTCTAGTGTAAAGGGAAAAGTGAATGAGAATATTATTTTTTTTGGAAGAAAAACATTTTATTAGTTTTGCTAAAAATAGAGCTTTTTTCTGCCGCACATCAATGGGAATTTTGCTTTATAAAACATAAACTTTTTTCACTTATTTTCCAATGAACCAGCTTACTGTAAAAACACATATGGTAGGAAACAAATTCTCACTAAAATCTTGACAAAATTCCTAAATTTTATGCGTTAAAAAAACTAATACTATTTTTTCTTTTCACATTGATTCAATCAAAATATTTGTGAGAATAACCACTGAATATTTTGCAGTAAAAAATTTCAATGGGAAAATAGTGACTTTTTAGTAGTGTTTCTGTTTTGTTTGTCCGCTTTTGATTTGATACAAAAAGTAAAAAGAGTTTTGAATCTTATAATTTTAAATTGAAATATATAATATGTACCAAAGTGTTCTTTAATCTTTTAATCATAAACATGTCTTGTGAAAAGTTAAAATTAGCAAGTTACCAGAAAATGAAAGAGACATCCGAATCTTTTATTTTTACTTAGATGAAATTATTATTTTTTTCTAGAAGTTTTGACAACACATAGTAAAGTTCTTTTCATATAGTAACATGAGAGTTGATGTTATATAATTTCCCTTTTAATTGCTGTCTTTTATTTTCATATCAATTTGTGCAATGAATATATTGCTTTGAATTAATAATAATATGAATTTGACATTCTTTTGTTAGGAATTAGAGTTGAGAAAGAGGGATGGCACACTCCATTGAGATTACCTCAATAGATAATCAAATTCCACTACTTCTTCAAACTGAAAAAAAGAGGCCTCTCTCAACTTTACAAATTAGTTTTCGATTTGATTAAAATACATAAACAATTAATTGATATCATCTATACAAAACAAAATAAAAAATTGTACCTTAATTTTTTGGCTATCATGAATTTCAAGAGATTACTAAATTACCTTCTTCCACGTAATTTTAGGCCTACCTCATTGTCATAACATGTTCACTAACCATAGTTTTACACCTACAAATCGGTGCATTTCAAGAGTTTTTTATCTTTTTTTTTTCCTTTTGTCCAAATTTTGGGGCAATATATATCATAAGCCAAACGGAATATATAGAGGGGGACAAAAGACTTTGAAAGTTAAGAATTTTAAGCATATGAAGAAAAACTTTGTAAGGTAACTTGTTATGCAAAATTTTAACCATCACTCTTTTCCAATACAGATAGAAGAAAGGAGGAAAGTGGATCATATAATCGAGATAAGGAACAAATGGTCAAGATCCATTAGGGTCACAAACAAAGACATCTGTAAATCAAATCTTTGATGAAATGTTTGAGGATTTGAACAATTTGTCAATTAAATCGTGTACTATATTCAAAGTAAATGTGGGGCTACGTGAATCAAATCCAAATGCTTATACACCAAAAATGATCTCTATCGGTCCTTACCATAAGAAAAATCCTCAACTTCGTCCAATGGAAAAGTACAAGCTGGAGTTAGCTTCCTTGAAGTTGGATATTTTAATAGATTATTGGGCGAAGTCAACCTTGAGGATGACATAAGTTTATTTGATATAAAGTTCAACAATGGATTTATGGCAATCCCTTGTTTTCAAGTCGATGATGATACAGAAACCATGTTGCGAAATCTCATTGCTTATGAGCAACAATCGTGCGATGTAGAAACAAAATATTTCAGTGATTATGCAACTTTTATAGATTATCTTATCGACTCAGATAAAGATGTGAATTTGCTTAGCCAGAAAGGAATCATAGAGAGTTGGATGGGAGAGAACAAGGACATGGCTAGCCTCTTCAACAAAATTGGAAATGGGTGAGTGTTTATTCCAACTAAGGCTGGGCACCGGACCGGAATGGGACCATCGGACCGGAACGAACCGGTACCGGGATGAACCGGACCGGAACAACCAGGATGGAGGCTCAGTTCCGTCCTGTCCCACTATATACCAGGATAGAACCGGGACGGACTGGAATGGACCAGAACGGAACGGAATGGGATAAACGGGACAGCACATCTAGCTTTCACATGTGCTTTTAAATAAGTACGTATAGTTTTTATTTCAATTGTAGTGTTTCCTCACAACTTCATGTATGGAATTTGCATGTGTTGATGAGCTTATGAGTTTTTCATTAAATGTTTTTGTATTGAATTTTATAGTTGAATATTAATTAGTTTATTTCAAGATCTATATATAAAAAACAAATGAACCGATAAATTTAATATATTATCGGTTGCAACGCAGGCATCTCAAGATATACAACTATTACATAAGACTCTTTATAACTTATGAGTGTGATATCATTTATTCATTCTATGCTAAGTGTTTTTCCAATGGCGAAATTGAATTGATCAACTTCTGAATTACAACAACAATAACATACTCAGTGTGATTCTATTTATAGGGCCTGAGAAGGCTGGGTGTACGCAGACAATATCCTACTTTGTATGAGGTAGGGTGACTGTTTCCAATAAATATTCTGAATTGAAAAAGTTATTATCTTTTACAGAGAGATTCTCAGGCTTGGTTGTTCAATGGCAAGTTGTTGGCTTCTGGGGTGATTTTTGGGTTTCCAGTCCACACTCCAGTTGGGCCTGGGCATGAAGGAAGTGTTAAGAGTGTGTAAAAGTCTCATATTGGTTGGGAAATCGAATGTTGGTCTGTTTATATGGACTTGGACAATTCTCCCCTTAAAAGCTAGCTTTTAATGATGATTAGAAGTAGGTGATCTTTACAATTACATTCTATATAAAGGGAAAAAATATATTCCCCTATATAACTTACCATCCAAGACCATTTGGCTTCCAAAAACTTGTATATACTTCTTTGATAGCTTTTTCCTACTTTTTAGAAAAATAGAGCAGAGGGGTACCTTATAGTGCTTTATTGATCTCTCACTGTAGAAAGCCATCAGTATTATGCAAATAACATGTGAACAGTTTGTTTAAGGAGTATTTGGTTTCCAATCACAAAATATTAACCAAGGCGAAATTGTCATTCCCGAGAGCCTACACTCTAAACGTGGCCAACACTCAGGACCATTATGGATCCCAAGCGAACCCTTGATATGGCATACTACAGGGATGTTTTTTGTTCATATGTAATAGAACTATATATATTTCTATTGGAAGTAGCAGTGCATGTTCAATCTCTCTTTTCAAATAATTTATTTATGTCAAACTTCAAATTCCATTAACAACAAAAGAAGACAAAAAAATTTTGTTGTCAAGATTTGTGTTCACATGTGGTGTTTTCAACTTTTGAATTGGCTGATTTGCTTTGTGATGTAAACTACTTTTTAAAAGTTCGAGTAAAATTAAAGTAAGAGAAAACTTTCCATATAATAGTAGAATATATTGTATTCGCGCGAATAATAAATGTATTTGAGAATAATAATACTTTTTCTGTATTGACTTACTTTCCTTTTTAATCAGTCCAAAAAAGAATGACATATTTCTATATTAAATAACAATTTAACTATAAAATATCTATTTTACCCTTAATGAAATTATTTACAGCCACACAAATTTCTATCATTCATTTTGGACCACAAGTTTTAAAAGTCTTCTTTTCTTTGTTAATCTCCATGAGTCAAACTACCTTACATAAAATGGAACAAAGGAAGTAGTGAAATACATTATATTCACGTTCTCTTAAGTGTATTAACTATTAACACATACAACATCTCAATAACGGAATATATTATATCCCTTGTATAATAATAATAATGAAATACATAGTCTAGAAAATAATGAATTAGCGAAAAACAAAATTTTATAGATAAACAACAAAAATTTCATGTTAACCCCATTTAACGATAGATTATAAGAAAATGTAATTAGCTAGGATCTTTAATTTTAGCAATATATCCACACAAAAATAAGTATATGCACATATATTTGCTATAGAATTCTAAACTATCAAAATAATTGACTTGTTGAGTCAGCAGACTTCTCCTTATCTTTCCATCAGTGGACAACAATATTTTGTGTGTTGAAAGACCAAAACAAGACCACATATTAAATTATATTACATTATATTATATATGAATATTTGATCACATTTTCTCTTATAAATTTACAGGTGACCTGTCGTATAGAAACAACAAACCAAAAAAAGAAACAAATAAATAAAAAAGAAACAGCCAAAGCAAAGAGGTGTTTCTTTTTCTAAATATTCTTGTTCCATGCTAAACTATTACTCTTTATTCTTTGCTACACCTCAATTTGAATGCCATGATTTACATAATATTTTATAGTGTAAAGGGAAAAGTGAATAAAAATATGAAAAAACACAATTGTTTTTGTTTCTGTTGTTTCAAATTTAAATCACCTTTTGTTTTTTTTTTCCTTTATTTTTTTTTGTTTATAACAACTTACATGCTTCAGAGAGTCTCACAACATCTCTACCAAAGTAAGATTTTCCCACTCTGTTTTTAACGAACTAGCTCACTGGAAAAATAGATTCTCACTAAAACACTAACATGTGTGAAAATACTATTAGTTATTTTTTTCATTGATAGAATTAAAATATTTGTGAAAATAGTCACCGAACGTTTTTCAATAGAAAATTTCAATGGAAAAATACTTAATGTTTAGTAGTGTATGTTTCAAAGTTTTGTGTGATTTTTGACTTGATGTAGAGGTTAAGAAAGTAAAGAGCCTTTTGAATCTTATAGTCTTAAATTAAAAATGCGTAAAATATATCATAGTGCCCGTTAACTTTTTGATTGTAAACATATCATGTGAAAAATTAGAACTAAAGAATCACCAAAAAATGAAAGAAACGTTCTTCTTAAAATGAACTAAAAAAAAAGAGTAAAACAATCAAATAAAAAAGGAGAATATTATAAGTGTTTTCTAAGGCATAATACATAATTATGTTCTTTAGCTTGGCCTCATCTGAAATCTATGCTCTTCCATTTTGGATTTGGACATGTAGACACTTATAATGAGAGTTGATGTTGCATAATTTCCCTTTTATTGGCTTGTCTTTTCTTTTCAAATCAAATTCTGCAATGAATATATTTCTTTGGATTAATAATAATATGAATTGAAATTAAAAGGAAACAAAGTTTTTTTTTTTAGGAATTACATTTGAAGAAAGAGGAATGGAACACTCAACCAGTGAGATTACCCCAACTAATGACCAACTTTCACTACATTCTCAACTGAAAAAGATGAGGTCTCTCTCAACTATATAAATTTGTTTTTGATTTCATTAGTTCACTTTTCTTTAATTTTGACAATTAAATATATAATTTAATTTGGTGTACCCTATGATTTTCTATGTGGATGAATTTCAAGAGATTGTAAAATTTCTTAGGCTACTTCTCCTTTCATATGGATATTTAAAGAAATTTTGAAGATTCATAATTTATTTTTTCAATAGGCTAATTAATATGAACAAAGGGCGAAATAGTAAAGTTACTCAATCTATTAATGATTTCTTAATTATTATGTAAAATATAGAAAGTGCCCATCTAATATGAGATTGAGACGAAGATAGTAACTATCTAATTATCTATCAAAAATGGACAATAAAACTAGATATTGATATAAAGTGAAAAGGGAAGCTTTAATATTCGGTTGACCACTTAATTCTAAGTCGTCTTAGAGTTAATTATAATGTTATTTCCGTCCCATATTAGTCGTTGCATTTATAACTATGCATTGCATCCGTATATATCTCCTTATTTTTCGTAACGTAGTTCATTTTGGGGTGATATAAAGGACATTGTTACCATACGATAGGAAAATAATAATAATTTTATTAACTATATATGGTCATTTTCACAAGGACAACTAAGTTAATCTTATTTTAAGAATATAAAATATTAAAGGTTAAATGGGACAAAAATAATTAATTTAATCTTGATTTTGATAAAATAACAAGTTTGAGTACTTATTCTTGATAGTCATGACAACTTATATAAGTCGGTAGGAGTAACGATAGTTAAACAACTTGTAAATAGTGTTTACCAACAAATCATGTGAAACTTAATTTAATGAGAAAATTATTGAATTTGTAAAAGAGAAGGCAAGTTACATAAGTGTTAAATATTGACCATGTAGTGCATTGATTTTGATAAAATGACTAAAATGCTTTTTATCGTCCTTTTCATACTCATGTACTGTACAATTAATTTACCCAGAAGGAGACTTAAAAATAAAATAGTCTTGGAGCTTAATTAAATAATTTATTTTTACTTTGTTGTGATATTAATACACCTGCTCAACTACCCTACTTTGGTAATATTAATTTTACACCAAACTTTCTTTTTTCGTACTTAAAAGTAAAATATCGTAGAATATATCGTCATTCACTTGAGTCAGCGGATTTTTCAAAAAAAATTACTGTCGGCCAAGAGCATTTTTATATTGAAAGGCCACAAAATAAAGTGTTGAATTGAATAAATTTATGTATAAAATATATTTTATATACTAAATTTGGAAATAATAATAATATTAAATATTTTGTCTCGGATCTGGGGTGATGAAAATGACTACAAGTCAATAGGCAATTAATTTATTCATAAAGTCCCACCTCCTAAACCTATTAATATGCTACTAATCATATTGAAATTAAATTAGTTATAACATCTTGAATTACGAGGTATTCTATTAATTTGATAGTTATAAGCTACAGGATATTAGATATCTTTCTTTTGATATGATTTAAAATTCTTTTATTAGATACTTAATTTTAATTGACTCAGTTTTTAAAATGGGTCTCTATTATTATTATCGTCTTTTGTGTTCCCTTGATTCATCAGTTTTACATTGTAGAAGCATTTAGAGAGTTTTTATCAAAATTCTACCAAAATATACTTAGTATTGTGGTCTACCTTCTACTCGTGACTCTTACATAATAACAACACAACATATGAGTTTTGGGCGTATAGAGCGTACACAAACCCAGCTTGCCTCTATCTCAAAGTTGAGATAAAGAGGTTATTTTCGATAAATTTTTGGCTCAAGATAAAAATAATTTAGAAGAAAAAGGTTATGAAAATTAAGTACAAGAGGCAATAATAGATAGGAAGAAAATAACAAATAGTATAGCAGAACAGTACTACAGTAAAATAATTTTGTAATTGAACTATATGAAACCATATAGAAAGCGAAGAATAAGAAACTACAAGAATAGTCCTACAACTACTAGTAACGACAACAAGAAAATGCAGTCCTTACTAGTATATATGGCCGCACTCCTACCTACTAACTTTTTATCCTAATTTGTGTCCTCCACACCTTCTTACTATAACATTCTAACAAAAACTATATAAAAAAATTAACTAGACCATATCGAAATCAAAGAGAATTCGAACGTCTTATTTTAATGATTTAAAGCAAAATGATAAAAAAAATTGATATGATACAAATTTTATAAAATAATTGATCGAACCTAACATTAACACCCCCTACCCTACACCTATCTAGATAGTATCTTTAATTATCTGTATTTCTTCTCTCTATTTTTCTCTATATAATAGATACTTCACAGCAATGAAAAATCCAGGAGAAGCAAGAGTTGAGTAGAACAAAAGAAGAAACAGCCAAACCAAAGAGGTAATTTTGTTCACTTTCTCGGAGTCTGAAGCCTAAAGGGCAAAAAAAATTATCAAAAATTTCAAAAAGGCACATCAATTTTTTCTTTAACCTAAAGGGTAAAATCGCTCCTGACGTAGCGATTTTCTTTGACGCCGTTACTCTGAAATCATTGATCTACCAACGATTTTATCCAAAAACAAAATTTCCTTTTTTTTTTTAGGAAGATCGCTGCCCGTACAGCGTTTTTCCATTTTAAAAATAAAAATAAAAATCGCTGCTATGGCAGCGTTTTTATAAAAACATAAATAAATTAAAATTAAAATTTAACAAATTGAAATCGCTCCAAAGGTAGCGATTTTAGTTAAAAAAAAATTTAAATCGCTGACTTGGTAGCGAATTCAGTAAAAAATTTATTTATTTTTTAAATCGCTGCCAATTTCAGTCGTGCTTTTGTGAAGCGATTTTTAAAAAAAAAAAAACTTTTTTACTGAAATCGCTGCCTTGGCAGCGATTTAAAAATAAAATAAAATATATATATATATATTTTACTAAAATCGATACCTTTTGAGCAATTTCAGCTAATTTAAATTTTAAATTTTTTTTTTTTTATAAAAACGCTGCCATAGCAGTGATTATTTTTTTTAAAAAAAAATTCTTGCAAAAAACGCTGCACGGTCTTCTTAAAAAAAATTGGAAATTTTTTCTTGGACAAAATCGCTGGCAGGTCAGCGATTTCGGAGCGGCGTCAAAGAAAATCGCTAAGTCAGAAGCGATTTTACCCTTTTGATTAAAAAAAAATTGATTTGCCCTTTTGAAATTTTTAGCAATTTTTTTTACCCTTTGGACTTCGGACTCCACTTTCTCATTTATGCTAAACACTATCAATTAATTATATTATTGTGTACCTCAAATTGAAGAACATGATCGACTCAAATGAATAATTATTTTATTTATTAGATTCTTGGTCATTGTTATTTTATTTTTTTATTAATTGTCAATCCATATTTAATTTGATACTTACTTTATGAAGCCTTTAATTAATGAGGAAGAAGTAATTACACAATGTCCACCTTGTAGATTATACCTATTGATTACTTGAGTTGTGTTTAAAATGTTCCTTTTAATTATGTTTTTGACGATATAGTTTTTAAACATTTGATTCTCACGCATTTGACATAAAAATAATTGTTAGAAGAAATTCACTTGATATTCTTTTGTAGTTTTTTTGGTTCTTTTCTTCAAAAGTAGATTCAGAAGAAATTTTGTCGATTTTAAAGAGCTCATGTGTTTTCAATTAATTTAATAAGTGTATCCTTTCTGATCTTTTTATTTTTAAAGTTGGATTTCAGTATTTTATGATATTTATTGGGTTGTCTTTTTTTTCTTTGCGAATCAAATTCTGCAATGAATATACTGCTTTGGATTAATAGTATAATTATGAACTATGAGTATCAACAATAACAATTTTTCAAAAAAAACTATAAAACCTCTTACACGTTTTTTTTCAAAAAATTAATATAATATTTCTGATAATATGTAATTATGTATAAGTACTTTTAAAAAAAAATGAAAGCCCCAAACGGTGGCTTTAATGGCCTAGTTGTTAAGACGACCCGTTAATTTAAGTATATATGATTCTATTTCTTTTATGTAGATTATCAATTAGTACACCTATTCCTTGTTGACTTTTTATATTTAACACTTTTGGACTCCAGTTGTCATTCGATATAACAAATTTTTTTATATTTTTTTTTAAACTTTTGGGTTTTTGTACTATAAATCTGCAGTCCTCTTATATTTTAGAGGACAAGCAAGAGCAATTAGGCAAAAATTCAAAAGGGTAAGTTTTCTACATTCTATGATTTGCTCAAGAATTCAATTACATTCTTTGTAGTCTCAATTTCAGGTCATTCAATTAATAATTATTATCGTATAAAAAACTATCGAAAAATAAGAAATCACTTTGTAAGATAATAACTATTAGTTGAGGGATCATCTATGAAATTAACCCTCTGAATGAATAATATGTCTAGCTTGTATTAATATACTCCATCTGATAATTAATTATTATTTTTTGCAGAATGAGACTCGTAATTATTGAGTTGATCATTTGTTGAAAATAATTCAAAGTTAAAATAGAAAATTATATTTATTTAGAAATTGATATTTGAATTTATGTTTAAATAAATTTTATAGTCCGAATATATAAGAAAAAAATTTCTTGCTTTGAGTTAAATAGGAGTGCTAACTATTTTCAAATGGTGGGAAGTTGCTAGAAGCAAGAGCATTCGAAGATTTATGAGTTTATAAATAAAATATTTTTTCTTTTATCATTGTTCAAACTTCAAATGTTCACTTTTACTATAAAAATTATATAGTAAAATCATCTTACTTTGTTTTTTTCTTTTTTTTGGTTACAAGAAAGTCATTTTTTAATATATTACATTTCAAGATTTTTTTTCAGGATGTGTCTTGTAGAAATTGGAGCTGAAGAAAGAGGAAAGGCACACTCCAATGAGATTACCTCAATAGATGATCAAATTTCACTGTTACCTCAAATTGAAAATGCTGAGGTCTTTCTCTCAACTATATTACAAATTAGTTTTTGAATTTGTTAACCCATTTTTCTTTTAGCAATTAAATATTTAAAAAATTGCAAGAGATCGAATTTTTTTTTAGAGTGATTCTCTTCATGTAATTTTAGGTCCATCTCATGGTCCTAACACATTCACTAACCATGATTTTTACATTATTTTTTATTTGAATCGGCTCTGAAGGGTAAAGAAAATTGGTGAGATAATTTTTTTAAGTTATGTGGCATTTTTAAATTAAAAAATCAATTTTAGATTATTTTTTTTTTAATTCATCCTATTAAAAAGGATAAATATGCATCATTTATTAAATAGAGAAGGTAACAAGAGATGTATTCAATCTAGATAATAGCAGAGTCGAGGAATATATTTGCTCATTTCCCCTAACGAAATAAAAAGGAATATGTAATTTCTTGTTTATTGCATAGTGCTTCTAGTAAATATTTTTAAATTTCTTACTCTTTTACGTTACAGATAGAAGAAAAGAGGAAAGTGGATCATTTAAGCAGTAGCATAAATGAAATAATGGATGAAATGTTTGAGGATTTAGACAAATCATCTATTAAATCGCGTTCCATATTCAAAGTAAATGTGCGGCTACGTGAATCAAATTCAGATGCTTATACACCAAAGATGGTATCTATTGGTCCTTACCATAAAAAAAATCCTCAACTTGATCCAATGGAAATGTACAAATTATTGTACCTGCGACGATTTCTTCAACGGAAGAAGCTTGATGTGAAAAGCTGCATCAGTGAATTGCAGAAACTGAAGGAGGAAGCACTTAAGTGTTACGACGTCATAGAAGAACTTGGTAATGACAGTCAATTTTGCCAAATGTTGTTGCTTGATGGTTGTTTTGTGGTTGAGTTTATTCGAGAGCGTTGTGAAATGTGTCCAAAAGGAGAAGACAAAATTATCAATATTAATGATAATTACATATTTCGAGACTTGATGTTACTAGAAAACCAACTTCCTTTCTTTGTTCTCAACCAACTTCATGACATGACAAAGCAAGATGATGAATTACCATTGGCAATACTGGTGAATAAGGTGTTTACCTTTTTTGTTAACTGGCCAAAAATGACCTTTGAATCCTTTGGAAAGATAGAATGTAATGCAGAAAATATCAAACATTTACTTCATGTAGTACACATATTTTCATGTCATGGCCAGAATCCCATGAAAAAGTCAAATGATAACAAAAAGAGGCATATGATCATGCCAAATGCAACAGAGCTTTCCGAAGCTGGAGTTAGCTTTGCAAAGATCGGAAATATCAATAGAAACAAAGACAATATTAGCGATATGACAAGTTTATTTGATATAAAGTTCGAAAATGGATTGATGACAATCCCTTGTTTTCAAGTCGAAGATAATACGGAAACCCTCTTGCGAAATCTCATTGCTTATGAGCAACAATCGTCTGATGTACAACCTAAATATTTTAGTGATTATGCAACTTTTATGGATTATCTTATCGACTCAGACAAAGATGTGAATTTGCTTCGCCGGAAAGGAAGCATAGAGAACTGGATGGGAGAGGACAAAGAAGTAGCTAGCATCTTCAACAAAATCGGAAATGGAGTCGGTGTTGATCCCAACAACTTCTATTACAATGAAGAATGCTTAAAAGCAATTCAGCATTGTGAAAAACCATGGAACAGAATGAAGGCAAATTTGAAGCACAATTATTTTAATAGCCCTTGGGCAGCAGCTTCAACTGTGGCAGCTATCATACTCCTTATACTCACAACTATACAGACTATTTTAGCTATCACAAGTGCCGTTAAGTAGTAATTGTCTCAATTGTAGTGTTGATGAGCTTATGAGTTATCAGTTTGTATAATGAGTTTTTCATGTCCCCTCTATGTATTGGGTTTTATAGATGAAGGTTAATTTAATTTATTTTAAGTATCTATATTTGTCGTCTCTGGTACCAGTAACATGTATCAGAATTCAGATAACTCTATCCACTACTCAAGCGATTACACTAAGATCTAAGAAAACAATCCCCTGCCCCTTTTACTTGCATTCACAACATCAGCCAAAAACACCCCATATACCAATAATACTATCCTCAACACATCTATTCTTCACAATTTCTTAAGGTAGCTACAAGATTTAGGCATAATACATTAACGTGCTCTCTAACTTTGTTTTATTTCATATTTATGTTTTCTAACTTTGGGTGTGCACAAGTTGACACTTAAACTTGTATAAAGTTGAACAAGTACACACATGAGTCCTACGTGACATAATACATGTAGGACAAATTGTCATGTAGGATGACATGTAGGATTCATGTGTGTGCTTGTTCAACTTTATATCAGTTTAAGTGTGCTTACTTGTGCACATCTAAAATTGAAGAACATGAATATGATCTGAGGCCAAGTTAAAAAGGTATATTTATGTATTATGCCTAAGAAGTATAATGTGTAATTACTAGACTCCGAAGAATGGAAGAAGTGGCAACATCACAATTGAGTAAATTAACCACCAACCCGATCAACAAAATGAGTATTTGCACTGCTGTACGGATTATGGATAAATATTTAAAAATTATGTGTAAAAGCGTATTATTTATTAATTTGATATAAATAAAAAAAAATTATCATTCTATCCTACTAATTATTAGATTGATAAATATAAGTGTGGTTTGGTGTGAATGCGTAGACCATAAGTGATTGCTCTCTTTACTGCTTCATACTATTATTTGATTCATGTTAACTTATACTCACCTTAAGATCATTAAAAATAGTATAAGAAAAAATAATAAAACTCTTTTGATTTTTTAAATAAAATAATTTATTTTTATTTAATATATATATAGAAATCAAGTAAAGTAAAATAAGGGAAATACGTTAAAAGAGGATGTAAGCATTTAAAAAACGTGCTTCTTTCTTTAATATTAATTTTGTAAATTCTGGACATAGGGATGCAGTGCATGAGCTGTATCTGTGTGTAGTAAAAAATTATTGATGGTGGACTGTCGTGTCGTAATTTAACTAACCTTTAGAAAAATCACTTTTTGAAATATTCTAAGTATAAAACACTAAAAGAAAAATACTTAAAAAGAGTCGCCACTTAATTTTTAAAGAAATTAAGAAAACTTATAATTTTCAAAGATTTAAACAGAAAAAATCATTTGAAAATACCAAAGAGGGTTCGGGGTTCAATTTACACTTCGAGAAGGGTTTAAGCATTCGAAGTGTCCGCTAACATGCGGTTGACCTGTGACTTGACTAAATATTTGACTGTTTTTGGAAAAAGTGATTTAACATAAGAAAATAATAATTTACAATATTTGATTAATTTTGAGAAAATAATTAAATAGATGACACATTTTTTATTTTTAGAGAAAAGGGACCCAAAAATGAAACATTTGAATTAGATTGCAAGTGATTAGAATATTAAATAAACTAGACTAATTAGAATTTATTTAATTCATTTTAAAATAATAATTTTTGCCAATTTAATAATTAAAGCATGAAAATCATTTTAAATTAATTGACTAACCTTTTT